AACTAAAGTAGTCTATGAAACATTTTGATTAAAATCCAGGTTATGGTAAATTTGATCTGAACAGGTAAGCACCTATTCATTCTGAAGTGGTGTATGTGCCATTTGTCGTTGTAGGTGCCGCATAATAAAAGTACCACTTTGAAATTAATGGCATCTGCCAATACTAGTCAATTCTTAAGTAGTGTAAGTCACATTGTGATTCGTACCAGAGACTACTTTAGTTCCAGGCTAGCTAGTCGGTACTGTAACTCCTGCGTCACCCGTTCCTTCCACATTTCAGCATCTCAATAGACTGGAATTTCGGCATAAGTCATTCCTTGTTACAGGCTTGTGTATCCTTTAGGTCAGCGAAGGATTGTTTCGACACGTAAAACTGTCATTGCCGAAATCAGCAACGCTCCGCGAAATGTATTTTTCCAGTAGCCAGATAAGCTGACCACCAGCTGATAAAATTCCCGAGGTGACAGTTTGTAAGTGCAGTTAGAGGTTGAAGTTTAGATTTAGTTAGAGATATTTTTCACGAGTGCCTTATTTTGTACCGATATAGTTACTAAAAATAATATTGTAAGAAAATTTATGAAACTTATGTCGACTAGTATTTGGGAATATTCAAGTGAATTATTTGATGAATTCACGTTGAGGTCATGCACGTCGGAGGTAAGTAGACACTTTGTGAAGGGCATTTTCAGAGTACTTTTCTTGAATTTAAGCAAATGAAAGAGAAAGGAAAGCAATAAAGAAAAAGAGGACAGAATAGTTGTGGCAAAATAATATATTTTCAGTCAGATGATCGCTTTGGTTTGCCCCTCACATAATTCATCGCATTTTCATTCGAAGGCCGAAACACTCAGAGCTGTGAAGCGTCACTGCTGTTTCTTTTTATTTATTAAGAAAGAATTAAATTATTTTAAGAATTATGTTGACATTAATTGGTAATCAACATATATTATCTTTTTTTTTCAAGGATTCTTGTATAAGTAGCTAAAGTCAATTTATATTTCACGTTTTTTGTAAAATGAAGGGTTGCCTCCGGCCTTCAAATTCTCAACACGTATTAAGCATACGAAAATGACTTTTATAATAATTCCTGAAAATAAACATTATGAAATATGTACTCTCAATTAGTAGTACATTTCGTTCAAAACACCATTGATAATGGTAGTCTACACCCGCTATCGATACGCTTCAAAAACCATTTTTTTGTCTACTCACGATTCCACAAAGAGACCCGCCAACGTCGGCACAAGGCAGTCCGCGTGCTCCAGAGGCACAACCAATACGTCGAGGGGGGAGCAGCGTGAGGGGCGGGCAGCGGGCGGGCTTTAATGTGCGCGCGTCGTGTTGCTCGCGCTGGCCGCCCAGCCGCCCGCCGCCGCCGCCCCGCGATGCTATCGCCCGCGCCGCCCTGCCCATGTGGACAGAGCCGGCAGCTCAGCTCACTCAAAGAAAGGAATGAATTAGACTAATCTCAACAGACATCTCCGGAAAACGACCAGCACGACGGTGCGCCGCAGCGCGGCGCGGCGCGACGGGACGAGGAGCGGCGCGGAGAATTTGGCCGCGCCTGTGAATGCGCCCGTTTATTGAAACACCGCCGCCCGCCTGGACCCCAGAACCGCCCTGCCGCCGCCTCTGACTCTCGCTCTCCAGAATTAAGAACTGTATGCATCTCTGGCCGCCTGAGACGGCCTCTGCCGCGGCGCGCGTGCCCGGCCAGGCTGGTTGCAACCCGGTTCCCTGCGCCGCTGCTGAGATTAACTCGTTCGCGGCTAAACGGCCGGCGGGCCGCGGCGATGCTGGCGACCGGGCCTCGTTCGCAAAGTCGCGCAGCGGTCGCCGCCCCGACCGAGCCCCGCCCCCTGTCTCGAACGCCGGCCCGCTGCAGATGGTGCGGGCTTCGGTCGCTCGTCGAGGAGTTTTTCGGTCGCATTTCGAGCGTGTTATTAAGTCTGTAGTCTTGTGACCTTAATTAATTTGTAAGCTGCACGTGGTTCAGTTCACTGCCGCGCGGGGCACTACTATACAGTAAGGCAGAATGTAGCGCTGTGCAGCAGAACGTAGCCAACACTGAAAGAAAAGCGAGATGCTGGTGAGATGGGTGTTGCCAACTTTACTGTATGTCCATCTGTGATATTAATTTATAGTTAAACAATTATAATTCAGCATTTCTCTGTGAATGAAAGTGTCTCGTGCAGTTTCTTTTTATATCAAGGAATTTTTAGAGACATTAAATTAATGCGCGCGTCTTTCATTAAGTGTAAATATGGAAAAGCAAGGTAAGCTAGTTTTTTAAAGACCATGTGCTTCTGTTGCTTTCATTTAATGAAAATGTCAAATGTTTGGTGGACATTTACTTAACTATAGGATTATTTGTTGAAATAATATCCTTTGCTTTTCATCATCCAAATGATTCGCCACATAACCTCAATTGTATTTTCTTGTTTATTCGTCCCATTTTCTGCTTTCAGATATCGTAAATTATTTTAGTAACATTTTGGAAAAGGAGAAGGATGTTTCTGCTGGAATGGCAGCTATTAGAACTCTTTTAGAAGTTCTTAAACATGATAAATGTAAGAAAACATTGTGAATATTAAACTGTATGAACTTGCTGAATGCCTGACATCCCTTAGCTTGTCATCTTTTAGAATGACATCACTTAATATGGATCGTATTTCACTTCCTTACAGCTGAAACTGTACAAGAATTGGATTCTAATCTTAGAGCTGCGGGTGATGCAATGAGGAACACTGATTACCCCACTACTGCTGTTGTATCTGGTTGCGAGTTGTTTTCAAGATTTGTTACTTTAACTAATTTAGATACAGCTGTAAGATTTACTTTATCAAGTATTTATTTCATCATTATTTTCTCAAAAATGGTTTATGTCAAAATCTGTTTTTCTTCAGAGTTTTGGAGAATGCAAAACCATCATGTTACAAAGAGGCGAATTTTTCTTGAAGAAACTCGGGCTATCGCGAGGCAAAATAGCTAAACTAGCTAATAACTTCATTGTTGATGGTTCGGTAAGTAATATTATGTTAGTGATCATCTCCATTATGTTATAAACTTTACAGCAAGACTATTTTGCACAGCGTATCCTGACACATTCCAAATCTCGTGTGGTACTTCAAGCAATGCAGGAGGCTGCTAATGCAAATAAGAGATTTGAGGTATTTGTGACGACGTCATCTCCTGACAGCAGTGGGTGAGTGCAATTTTTATTGGAAAATAATTTGATGTAGTTTACTTTATTCTGGGTAAGAATTATGTTCTTTCTCCTAGAGTTGAGATGTACCATGAACTTGAAAAGGCAAGTATACCATGTACACTCATCTTGGATTCAGCTATTGGTTATGTAATGGAACAAGTGGATATGGTGATGGTTGGAGCAGAAGGGGTGGTGGAGAGTGGAGGCATTATTAATAAGGTAAAACCAAAATTTGTTCAAAAGATATGTTCCCTCATTACGTTCATAAAGAAAGTATAAATAGGAACGAGATAAATAATCCTTTGCATTGCCTGATGTTCTTAAGAAGTGTGCATTTATTGGTTTACTGGTTTGTAGGTTGGCAGCTTTACAATGGCTGTATGTGCCAAAGAAATGAAGAAGCCATTTTATGTTTTGACAGAAAGTTTTAAGTTCGTGAGAACTTTTCCTTTAAACCAACGAGATATACGTAATGATTTTAAGGTATGTGTGCAATTTTTTTTCTTTCAATAAAATATTTTGTCTGCATTTAATTATTGCTTAATGCTTCCTATAAGTTTTGGTTGCAATTTATATTTCTACTGGTCAATAAGAAAATTATAAATCATTTAAACATTACGAAATTCCTTATGTTTATTGAAATTTTAGGGATTTTGCCATGATGCTTGCTACTTGATTATTGTAATAGTTTGTTTTCAGAATTACACATACACTACAGTATTACACACACATCCTCAAATAGTAATCGAATCCCCGTCCTTCCCAAAACACTTTTCGAGACTTGCCAATTGAGACAAACGAGGTGTCATTCTACAAAACCTTGTCTCATGATCGTGTGTGTGTAGTCGTTCAGAAAATTCTTAAAATTTTGGGTGAATCACAGCACTTGTAGCATCAATAGCTCATTCAATTCCTTTCAACAAGACAAATTGATAGTAACTATTTTTTAGCATCCCTTCAGAATATTCTTGAAGGAATGTAGGGAAATGCTAGTTTTTTATGGTTTCAATTCACAAGAGTGAAGGTGAAACACTGTTATTTTCCTACTACTCTTTCCAACATTTACATGAATTGTTTAGACTTAATTCATCAGATTATTACAAAATTAGTTTTAATTGTCCTTACAGCTAATATTTAACAAAATATTTTGATCAATAGTTTTTATGTAATATTATATACCTGAAATGGATGAGATGTAGTTCATATGAGCAGTATTGTTTTTTACATTGTATCTTGTTTAGAAGTGCAGAATTGTACAGAAGATACTGCTATATCTTACCTAATTGCCTTTAATCCAAATTTCATATGTTCTGTGGAATAGATCTAAGTAACCAAGCTAGGATGTAATGTTAACTATCTGCTTTCATTCTTCCAGTACCCTGCCAGCAAACTTCTATCAGATCTGAGCAAGGAGCATCCGCTTGTGGATTATACACCTCCAGCCTACTTAACCTTATTATTCACCGATTTGGGCATTTTGACCCCATCCGCTGTCAGTGATGAACTCATCAAGTTATACTTGTAAATCTCTTTTAATATATGTGCATATCTAATAAAATAGCCAAATGCAGCCCCTGGTGTTTGTATTGTACTTCCTTTGCCTCCCTGTATTTTATCTTCACCTGTCTCTTGCTAAGAGTAGTTATGATATTTAGTAGAGCTGAAGAATGTAAACACAAAGGTATTGGCTCAGGAGTGTAGTCAAATGTTGGGGACTGCACGCTTCTCTCGCTTTTCTGGGGACTGCATGTATGGAAAAGTGGCTTGGGTTCACACAATACAAAGTCTGGTTTCCTGCTGAGTATTTTATAACAGACTCTCTTGGCATGTACATTACAAGATATTTAAGTATAGTCTCAAACATGCATACCAAAACACATGGCGAATAAGGCACTAGTAGCACCATATTTGGTAATATGTGTGATAGCTACAACCAGTAACAGGGGAAAACGGCCTGTAGTTCACGATGGAAGAGATGTACATATTCTTAATAAACTTAAAATTTAAGAGTTGTGGCGTAATAAAATTCGCCAGTTTCATAACTCTTCTGAAATGAAAATACTAAAGGGGCGAAGGCGAGTCAATAAATAATTTAATTATGTCAAATGCTGTAAAAGTCCGTTCCGACGTGAAAGGGAGAATTGCGTTATTGAAATTAAAACATTTTTTTACCTTAACTTGTTTGCTGACGAAGTGGTAGATCCCTTTCACGATATTAATAGCAACAAATTTGCCATCGTCCGGAATTCCCGCCGTTAATTCGTACACTATTACAATGGCGAATGACCTGCCATCTAGTTGTCAAGATGACAACTAGATTGTCGGCGCCACTCTTCCAAATACAGTAATGGCGTCGATCGTGGATATGTTTTTGTTTTAGGAAAGAAAATCTCGTTAGTAGAGTCCGGTCGTGGTCGGTTTCTATATATATATAAAATTATATACAATAATGAATAATATAAAATATGAAGTTGATGTCTCACACTAACAACTTACAAACAAATAGTAGCTGGTGATGTGTGAAAACACACAATAATTTTAAATTGGAAACTATCTACACACTTTTCTTCACCTTACAATGCTCTATGGTATTTGCTGCAAAATTCACAATTTGAGCAAAAGTTGAAAACATTAAATAAAAAGCTGGCAAACAAAATATGAGCAAAATTGTTACTTACTCAATGAAATCTACTGAGCAACTACCAATATACAATTCTTATGGGGGTTAAAATTTTCAACTCATGCTCTTCATATTGCTTCAAACATTTAGCTGAATGTTGAAGTTAAGCAATGAAAATGTCACTGCAAACTTATCCATGAAGCTGCACTTTGATAAGAGATAACACTTCATGTAACACATTATGTTCATTGTCGGGAAATAAGCTGTTAACTATGTGACAGCACTGAACTTATTTTCTCTTCCCTTCCCAACTCTGCTGCATGTACAAGGAGCTATCTCATGTCCTTGATTCAAAATCTTACAACTTATTTGCACAAGCTGATTCTCGTTCTATTGTCCTCAGGGCAAGATGACACCCATGATCCAGGTACGTCTGCTACCTTTGTGCTCCAAATAGTGTGTCAACAACGAGATATATCTGCTCAAAATGTGGTCTGTTTTCTGGTTCATATTCCCAACATCTGAGCATCAGTCGATACATTTCATCTGGACAACCTTCTGGGGCCGGCATTCGGTAGCCTGGAATGAACATAAGTTATTAACAACTTACTAAGTCACTAATGACCTCACTGCTATGCTATGTATTGAGACCAAGACACTAACCAGCATCGATTTTCTCTCGTGCTTTTGAATTGCTCATTCCGCTGTATGGAGTGCCACCTCTTGCAAAGATTTCCCATGCTAGCACTCCATAGCTCCACACATCACATAGTGAGGTGTATTTCCCTGCAGAATCAAATGGTGCCTTTATATAAAACAATCTGTATCTGGATATATCTAGATGTGATATTTCAAAGACTGAGTAGTAACTAGTCAGACGAATCCCAGATAAATCTCACCTTAATAAAATGTTTATTATTGCTGCTTAGCATCAAATCAAAGATTATCAGTAATTATTAAATATTTTATTTTATTAAACACTATATTTTTTTTAATTTCTAATTTAAAGGTCAGTAATAAAAAAATTCTCTGTTAGTTATAACAATTGTTTTTCATTATAAAATTTATTTTTTTCCAATGTAAGTGAATCAAGGTAGGAACTCCCATTAAATATTTGTTTAATCTAAAGAATTTGAAGGGCCTTATTAATAATATCATAGTTGTGAATCTATAATTTATCAGGAAAATCAACACCCACAATATTGACTGAACTATCTTGAAAACAACAAAATATCTTGTGTCGTAACCTGAAAGTAATTTCTTATGACACATACAGGACAGTATTATAAAAGTACTTTATTTTCAACGAGATAAAAGAAGTCATTGTTTGATAGTAAGGTGAAAGTCAAAGCTCTCTCAATTCTTGAAAAACTTGCCTTACCTATAATAGATACCATGAAAAATTTTTAGCAATTATTCCAAATTAACATACCAAAATTGAGAGCTTCTGGTGCTGTCCATTTAATGGGAATCTGCTTCATGCCATCAGACACAATGTATTCTTCTTCTTCTCGTGACATGCCAAAGTCAGAGATTTTGACTATATTTTCATATCCTAGAAAAAGAAATTACATTCATTCAATTAAAGAATTTTAGAGTGAAGAAAACATTTCATGTATTTTATCATAAATGATGATGTATATCATTAGTGATAATTAGAAGTTGAAGTTTAGATCTCAAACCTCTCTCTTACCAAAAATTGACATAAATTCAGTGATATACATGTTATTTAATTTTTCAGTGGATAGTCCAATTAGTATGAAGAAAGTTGTTGTATGTGCGACAAGTTTGTTTACTTCTTAAAAAGAAGTATAGTATAATATGGATGCATTGTATCTAAAAATTCAATGACAAATTAAGGTTAGCCTCTTGGTGCACACATTTTGAAAACATAATTTTTTCTAAGCTTTCAGTTATGTTATTGTAATGTATGATTTTTTTCATTGCTATGCATTGATTATAAAGATGGTTGTTATTTTCATGAAATATGTATTTGTATTTTTAAATGGTTGTGTTGCGTGGTCCTAGTGATGTTTGTTAATATTGCATTTTCTGAAATATTTACAAAAAATTTCATCTGCTTATTGTGACTTTGTTATTTAGAGGTTTACTGGCATGTATTGATGTTAAAAGGCAAACAAAAAACTTTTTTGTCACTAGAAGTAATTCAGTCCAGGCAATACTTCACTGATAATTGTGGAAAAAAACGCAACATAAAAATGTAGGAAGTACAAAATATGCGTGAAGGTTGCCTGCTCGTTAATTAGAAATGGTGTAACAACAAAATATATTTGAGAAGGGCATTGCAGGGTAATATTGGGGAACCATTACCATCTCAAAACTTAGTTTAATTCTGGGAAGCAAGTTAATCTGTCAGCCCACTTTAGTTAGAATAGATTTAAAATAATTTAGTATTTTTTTATAAAATAGTAAGGTGTTACAGTCTTGCTGTAGAAATTAGTACAATTTTAAATGTTCCTTGAAACATTTATCTTGAGAATTTTCTCAGATTTTTCAGTAAATTTTATCAGTTAGTGGCAATCATCTGTGGTGGTATCATATTTAATAATAGGCCCTCTAGACCAATGGGGTCAGCAGTCTCCTAGGATACTGTTTCAGGGGGACCATGAAGAGGTCATTTGCCTTTAGTCACTAGGAGGATGTCCATAAATTACATAACACTAAAGATGGGGAGAAGGGTTGAGACAATGTTATGTTGTGTTACGTAGAGAGGGTCAGAGTTACATGTTACGTAATGCTGATATTTATATTTATTTTTCTTTCAACATTTGCTAAAATAATTACTTTTCTCCAGTATTATTTTGGATCACTAACCTATCAACAAATTAAATTAAAACTGTAATAAATTAGAAAGGTTATGATGTATAAATTTTTATAGAATAAATGGAAATATTTTTTCATTAATGATGTAGATTGAACCTATTAAAAGTACAAATTAAATATTCAAAAGTGATCTATAGTATATTCTAGAACCTAATTAAATTGGTGCAGTAGACTCGGAGTATATGCGTCATCCTTAATGACGTGTGCAAGGCTTGTTGTCAGAAATTATCTCACCTAGGCAAAGTATTTATGTCATTCAAAAATTGTCGTCATTCTCGTTGTTATGTGCAGCCCACACTGCCAACTAATTCTCACCTTATTTATCATGAGTTTTAATATATAACAGAAATACAATAAATACTAGATTTTTCTGCTTTATCAATGATTTTTACTTATTGTAATGTGAGGGGACTGTCTTGACATAAGTGCTACATAATTATTAGAGGGGAGTTCCAGTACATGTGTCAAGTGCATTACAGGAGGGAGAGGAAGGTTTTCAAAAATACACCAAATTTGCATCACTTAATTTATGGGCAGCCCCTAGTAGGCCTGTGGGGATGTCCAATTCGATTCCTCTGAGACACTGTGTAGTAGTTTAGGACAGTACTTTTAACTTTCACATTCAGAATACCACAGAGTGGGCATTGCTGTTTTGGACTCACTGTTATCCCAAAAATCTTTTGTGTTTTGAAGTATCAAGCATTGAGGCATTCTAGATCTTAAAGAGTGTGTCAATAAATGTTTTGGTAACAGTAGCATTCATGATAATTATTGAAGGAACGTAAGTGAGAACTAGCCCCAGATTATTGGTTCCATAAATGTAAAGTACAAGGATAGTGCACACTCGGAAGAGGTAGGGTTCCTCCGCTGATGGAATGTGAAATCCGACACCAACTTTACATGTCGACTTGCGGATTTCACCTTCTCCAGTATTTAATCTCTCAGCTCCAAGCTCATTGCTAATTGTAGAGAAGGAACAGAAAACCAATTTAAAAAAGTAAGAAGACTGTCACAAAAGAAAAGAATTGAGAATCTCTATTGTAATACTGATTTGAAAAGACTGCAATATTTTCTTTTCTTATTCTAAAAATGTTCTTTAATTTAGCAAAAGTTTGTGATAATCAAGTTAATAGAAAAGTTTTATATTGTAAAAATTAATACACTAGTAGTTTTACTTCAATTGTCATAATTTCAAGTAAGACTATTTACTGTTTGATACTATTACAATCAACCGGAATTGGTAAAATGTCTCAAAGGGTCAAGGACAGCCTTTTCAATAGGAAGGGCAATCATAGTCCTCAATATGGCTACGTTATCCTTCAAGTCTTTTGCAATGCTACTCCAAATAGCAACAATGATTCAGAGATCTTGAGTAATTTCACATTTCTTTTAAGGGAGAAAGATCAGTAAATATTTGTAAAAATAAATTATATTTATAAGTCAAACTTTGAATATTAATGAGAAATAAATTGTACTTAACAAAATTAGAGATCACAGACCAAAAAATGATTGTTATTGTGAAGTTGCACTTAGAATGGACCAGTTTGACAGCTAATGTTAGCAACAGAACGCCTTGTAACTTCCTTAAATGGCATTCTTTTGTCCAATGAAAGATCTGATGTGACTATCTCATAGTCTAATGAAAATGTAGTGTGCCATGATAAAGAATTCAAATTAGGATGTCTAATGCTATGTGCGCTTCTTTAAAAAAAAATATTTTTTTTCTTCCCTTTTTCTTTTTCCTTTTTCCTGGATTTGTACACGATGCATATACAACAAAAAGATACTTAAAGATTTCTGCACAACGATCCTTATACAGGAGCCTTCAATGAACACAAACATTTTACAGAGAGGTGTGATTGAATTGCTGTTGCAAGGGAGGGATATTTCTCTGAAGTACAGAAGATATTAATTGGTTTTCCTTTGTTTTTGGTTCCTTCTTAGAGTATGTTCTTGATATATATTTTGAAGAGAAAAGATAATGGTTGTGTTAAAAACAATTACTGAATAATCATTCAATATCTATGTAATTAAAAATTCACAATGTACATTTACCAAGATTTATTTTTATAAATGTACTTTCATTATGAAAGAGGAGAAATCTAATGGGACATAGGACCTGAGTTTGTATCAATTTACCAAAGAATAGTCATTACTTAGTAAATGATAAAATAATAAATACTTTGTTCCTTTTAAAATAGTATTCCTCCTTATCATTTCCTTGTGATTTTTGCACAAATAAAAGTTTAGGGAAGCAAGTTTTAAGATTTATATTCTATGATAAGATACTTAATTTTCTTCTATATTCAAATTACTTGCTTAGAAACCAAAGATGACTGAAATTTGTTTAACTACTGGCATATTTTCAGCCTCTGTATTATAGACTGACAACAATAGACTTTATTTGCCACATCAAATGCATTATTTTTTTGGGAAGATTATTTATCCAACTCCAAGATATTGTTTCAATTCTCTAAGTTTACAATTCCTGGAATTCTAAGTGAACATCCAAATGAAACTTTGTTTTAATTGAAGTCATTACTTTGAACAGACAAGAAAATGTATTATAAAAAGAGATCTGATTAATCTGAAGTTTTTGGGTGCAAGAAAAATTGAAGTCAATCCTCAAATGTGAAGGACCAATGCCATGTACACTGTGTAGATACATCTACACAAGTGTAGATGACATTGAAAGGACAATAGACTATTAACTAGAAGATTTGGAGTTTCAGTTTCAAAGAAGCAAACAACTTAAAACTGGCAAATGATCTTAGAATACGATGCACTAGGAAGAGAAGTTAAGTGTTGGAAATGTATAAAAATCTACAATAAATTATAAATTTATTCAGTTTATAAAATGAAATGTAGGGGAGAGACATTCATAATCCAGAAACACTATGAATTATTTCCTAACTGAGTTGATTGCACTTGATAAATTATTTTAAACCATTGAAACAGACAATATATTTATACATACATTAGCTAAGAATAATACTCTGTTATAATTTTGCTTACTTTCTGGAAGAGTTTTATTTAGTAGTGTTGGTATCATCAAAGAGAATATGAATGCTTTGTGTAATAATAAATGTAAATTAATGTCAGTTTTGTACCAAAATAAAAACAGCACATTTCATCTGTGAATGAGGTTTTGTTATAAAATAATTTAAAGTAACTACCTAGATTTTCTCAGATGTTGTGCAGTGGTATTGTTTTGAAATATTATAATTATGATTGGAAATATTAAAAAAAAATAAAACAGTGTTTCCTAAAATATGTGTATTTATAATGGAAATTCCCCTGTGGAATAAGATGTGATCCATATCCGGTTCATTGTTTTGAATAAATTGAGTCAAATAAAAAATGTTGCATTGGGGAGGGTGGTTGGGCTCCCTAGATTCCCTACCTCCTTTCCTAGATTCACTACCACTATCCAAATTTGAATCTGCTGTAAGGCAACCTTAGAAGGGCTACAATGTTAGAACTACAGATAGTCATTTTAATCATTAGGCCAACGAACGCTTAGCGAAGGAACTATGGCTTTTGAAAAACCCCTTTAAATATTGAGTAGAATTTATGATTATCTTTTTAGACAACCACTTATAAAAGTAGTTTTTTCTGGGCATGAATAGGATGGTAAAAGTTCAATTTTTAGCACTAGGGCTAAAAGTGAGATGATGCTCAAGTGTTGGGATAAATTTGTGAATGCAGCAA